AAAGAATTATCTAAGGACTAATTTATAGGACTGGAACAAATAATACTAAAATTCATTTAGAAGAACAAAAGGCCAAGAATCTCCAAGAAATTAATGGGAAAAAAAGTGAGAAAGAAGGGAGTCTAGCAGTACCAGATCTCAAACAATATTATGAAGCAATAATCATCAAAATGATTATGTACTGGTTAAGAAATAGAGCGTTTGATCAGTGGAAGAGATTAAGTACACAGTATATAGAAGTAAACGAGTATAGCAGCCTAGTGATTGATAAACCCAAGAACTCACTATTGGACAAAAACCACTGGGAAAAATGAAAAGCAATTTGACAGAAACTAGGTATACTAACATCTCACTCAGACCACATACCAAGACAGTCTCCAAAAGGGTGATTTTTGGCATAAGGGATAATATTATCAACAAATTAAAGGATCAAGGAAGAAATTATCATAACTATAGAGGAAGAGTTCATTATCAAACAAGAGACAGATAGGGTCACAGAAGGTAAGATAGTTTTGATTATATAAAATTTAAAAAGTTTTACATAAACAAAACCAACACAGGCAGAACTACAAGAGTAGCAGGTAACTGGGGGAAAAACTGATAAAGGTCTGACGAAGGCCTCACTTCTAAGTGAGAACTGATTCAAATATATGAGAATAAGAAAAATTCTCCAATTGATGAATGGCCAAGGGATATGAATAGGTAGTTTTTTTGAGGAAGAAATCTAAGCTATTAATACCCGTATGAAAAAGCTCTAAATCAATAATAATTAGAGAAATGTAAATTAAAAGGGCTCTAAGGTTCCATTTCACTCCCACAGAATTAGAAAAGAAAAATGATAAATATTATGGGGAAACAGGTGTATTAATGTACTGTTAGTGGAGCTGTGAACTGGTCTAGCCATTTTGGAAAACAATTTGGAACTATGCCCAAAAAGCTATTAAACTGTGTATATCCTTTTACTCAATGATTCCTCTACTCAGTCTATACCCCAAAGAGATCAAAGAAAGAGGAAAAGAAACAATATGTACAAACATATTCATAGTAGTTTTGTTTGCAGTGGTTAAGAATTGGAAACTAAGGAGGTGCTTACCAAATGCGAACAGGTTACGGTATATGAATGTAAGATAATGCTATTGTGCTGTAAGACATGATGAGGGGGATAGTTTCGGAGAAACCTGGGAAGACTTAGATGAACTAATGCATAATGAGATGAGCATAACCAGGAGAACAATTTGTATAATAACAATATTGTAAAGACAATTAATTTTGAAAATCTTAGGAACTCTGATCAAGACAGATACTAACCAAGATGCCAGAGTATTCATGATGCTTTCACGAGGCTGCCCATCTCCTAATGAAGGTGATAGAATTAGAATGCATATTGACATATTTTTGTGGACACAGCCAACTAGGCACCTTTTTTCCCCTCTTGATTATACGTGTTAGTAACAGGTGATTTTGTTTTTCTTGATTTCCAATGTGGGAAGAAAAAGAGGAAAGGAGAGAGGTCAGATACTCATTTTGAAAAAAGTATAAAGAGAGATATTTGGAATGATCAAAGTGTGTGTGTGTGTGTGTGTGTGTGTGTGTGTATACATATATATGTATACACACACACAGATGTATGTATGTAAATGGGTAGCTAGGTGGCACAGTGGATAGAACACCAGGCTTGGAGTCAGGAAGACCCAAGTTCAAATCCAGCCTCAGACACTAGCTGTGTGACCCTGGGCAAATCACTTAACTCCATTTATCTCAGTCTCCTCATCTATAAAATGACCTGGAGAAGGAAATGGCAAACCACTCTATATTTGCCAAGAAAACTTCACATGGGGTCATGAAGAGTCAGACACAACTGAAATGACAGAACAATAATATATATGTAAAAATACACACACACACACACACACACATATATATATATATATATATATATATATATAATAGATGAGACTTTCAAAGACTTATCCTTACAAGAGATCTAATCCCTGGGAAATTACAATTGCCACCTGGTAAAGAAAAGCCAAATTGTCATACCATGGGAAATGGCAAAAGGTGTGAGAATAGAATGGCAGGAAGCAGAGGATGATGAGTTCCATTTAACAATGACATTTTTAGACAATACAAGACAGGTATGATAGAGGACAGAAAAGAAAGACAGTGGACTAAAGAACATAGCTGCATGAAGGAGAAGCTGTAGAACACCCCTATGGAACAATAATTGCTAACTGTTGGGAATGGAGATCTCCAGTGAAGCCATAGAGTTGGACAGCAACCAGCAGCACAGAGAGGGAACACTGACTGACAATGCCAGAGGATGACAGGAAGCTAGAGCTGTCAAAAGCCAGCAATATGGACCTGTTCAGGGAAATAGATTTTCATGCTTCTAGAATGAAGGCCTACTCAGGACAAGGCTATAAGTCATGGGACTATATTGGTTTCTAAGGCATGGTTGCTTACTATATAATACAATATTCCTTTCTATCAGCTCAAATGTAAGTGCCATCATTTCCCCCCCATTAAATTGCAAATAAAACTCTTCATGCTTTGAGACTTATGAGCATATGTGCTTATAAAGAGAATTGGGAATTATCCTTGGGGAGTGTCAAATACTGAAATTCCCAGGGTGACAGAGCGACAGGTGACGGGGGGAGAGGAAGAGAGAAAGAAAAGAAGAGAGCTCAATAAACTAAAGAAAATAGTGGTCTCTGAAATACCTGGTTTATAAGTCAAGAGAGAGCCTCTGACATAGGTTACACAAAGATGAATGAGGCAAGGTTCTTTCCTTTGAGGAGTTCATCATCCAGTTGGAGAGATATGATATGTACAAAGTTAACTACAATGTTGTTTGAAATGCTAATGATTGTTCACATTTCAATAGCATTTTATAATTTGCAAAACACTTTCCTCACAACTCTGCAATAATGGAATTATCATTCTAATTTTATAGATGAGGCATAGCTACAGGGTAAGTTGCTTGCAGAGGGTCTTAAACATTAAGCTAAAGTAATTTGAATTTTGTTTCTCAAGCCATGGGGAATTACTGAAAATCTTTATGTCCAATGTCTTAGGATGCAAGTTTTAGAGATGAAAGCACCACATTTATCTTTATGGTAGATAAGAGATTACACAATAAATGGGAAGAAAAAAGATTGAAACTATTTGTTAAGGAAAAATGGTAGAAAATTAGCTCTTTTCAGATGGTGTTAGAATAAAAACCCTTTTTGGAGGTTTCTTATAACATTTAATACTTTATTTAGGAAATTTTCTGATTAATTAACTACTCAGACCACCCACCAAAAATAATAACCTTCTATTTGTGATCGTGGTTGCTAAGGCATGTCTTAATTTTCTGCCTCTCTCTCATTATACCTATTCAATTGTGGCCCTTTCCACAAACCTTGCCTTTTGACAGCCTCATCAGCTACAGCAGTAATAGGGGATTATGTTGGTCTTGATTGCGGGTCACTGTGAAACAGCTGAGTGTTACAAGTGAAGGAGCTATTTGGAAAATGGAAGAGAGGGTGAGGAAAGTGGTAGATGCTGTATGGACTGGCATGAGAAAATGGGATTTTTGTTTTTTGGCCAGGGTACTAATATCCAGGAGTAGCTCCCTGTACGGACCAACATCCTGGTACATTGTCTTGTAGTGAATCATGGACACCCATCATGGTGTAGCACTGCCTCTTTAGGGCCACCACTTTAAGGACTGATGTTAGGGAATTCTTTCCACCTCTTGGTAGATGCATACCTACCAGTGGAAGGCAAGGGAAAAGTAAGTTGATGATTATGGGTCAAAGATAGGAGGCCAAACTGAAAGTGAAGAGACAGAGAAAAACTAATCTTACTGATAGCAAATTCAGATTCCTGGCATATAGATTTTGTTTTTGATAATCTTTAAGGTTCTCAGAATATCCAGCCAATTTTCAGGATTCTGTTGCAACTTAGGATAGAAGGATAAAATAGCTCATAGCAGAAGGAAGGGTAGAGAAAGCAGGGGGTCAGTCAAAGGAGAAATGGGAAGTCTCTGGAATGCAAGTGGCAAGTGTTATTAGAATAAGACAATATTCCCTGTTCAAGGTTTAAATCATTAAACAGGTCCAGGTGTGCCTTATGGGTGTTTACCTTCATCTAAGCCAGGAGTACTTAACTATATTGAATTGCCGAAATATATTTTTTAAAAAGTTCACATATTTCAGGTTAAGAGGTCAAGGTAGGAGACAAGGGGAAGAAACTAAATACTTTTACAATCATGAAAGCAGTCCTTTTAGATAAAACTGCAGAGTCTTTTCCCCTAAAGATAGCAAGTAGTTGTTAAAACAGTAGAGGGGGCCATCTTCTTTACAAAGTCATTTTATTAGGGGTGGGAATTTTCTAATATTAGGATACCGAGTAGTTGGGAGATTTTTAATGTCAGTCTATCAGGATGTAGTGAAATGTTTGTGGTTCCTATTTTTCTCCCAAACTGTCCTCCCCTTTGCCACAAGTTGTTGAAATTCCCCAGTCATCTTTTCATTGAAGTCCTCCATACTCTCAAGTAGCTAAACTCGTTTAATTGTCCTGTCTTCCACAGTCTGACAATTTCATTGTCCTCCAGCAGATGGCACTCATCATCTTTTGCTTTCTGTTCTTCTGCTCTTAGACCTTTTGCTACTCCCTATGTTACCACATAGGGCTGCTTGACCAGTGGGCACTTATACCTTGATCCACCTTCTCCCCAATAATACCTGAATACATGAAGGCTAGATTATCTCTAGATCATAGATGCCCCCTCTTGTGGGGTGTACATGGCCATGGTTGACTTTTTTTGGACCATAGCTCCTCTTTCTCTTCCTTGTCTCAAAAGAATTTGCCCCAGGTGTAATAATTCATAGTTATGGCTCTGTTGGTCAACCATTTGCTATATCCCAGGCTCAAATACCTACTTCTAAAATCCAGTGGAAAAAAAAAGTGGAGGATTTCTCCACCCAATAGTGTATCCTTAGACTCTTACTTACCTCATCCAATTTCTTCTATGCTGGTGCTTCTTTCTCTCCACTATGTTTGTTATAGTCCAGCACAATAGCTGGTTCCTTGCACAACTACACTTGCCTGTAATGTGAGAGAATGTCAGGTTACTGTGGCATAATGTTAGGATAGCTCACACATACAGAATTACATTATTCAGTTAGTTTGAGAGATTTAAATCATTAAACAGTTCTAGCTATGCCTTATGGGTGTTTATCTTCATCTAGGCCAGGAGTTCTTAAATCTTTTCTGTGTCATGGACCTCTTTGGGAAGCATAGGATTACATAAGAAACTAATTATATTGAAATATAATTGTCAAAATATATATATATTTTTAAAAGTTCACATATTTCAGGTTAAGAACCCCTGACCCAGGCCCTAATTTTTGGTCTTATTTTAAGTTGTACTGGTCTGCCATACATCCGTTCTCTTTTGTTCCATTGGAGTGACCAGTCCTTTTAGTCATAAAGGAGTAAAGTTCTTTCCTGCTTGCTAATACTCTTTTGAATTCTGGTCAAAATTAGGTCTCTTACCACCTCTCCCAATGTCTCTATCCAGTTTTTCCCCTTTGTCTTTTGTAAACCTCTGTTAAGCTTGACTTACATTATATTTCCCCAGACTCCTTTGGCTATCAAACTAGATTGTTTTTTTTTCTTCTTTTTAAATCCTGATCATCTTGTCTTTGCTTATAGATTCTTCAGTTGGGTAACGTCCCCTGAGTATTTGCTCTTTGGATCAGTCTATCAAGAATGTATAAGTTTACATCATGAACTGGAGGAGATAGATAGCCAAGGATAATACGCATTTTGGAACTGAAGCACCTAGAACCTACAATGATGTGTGATGTGGAAGCCATAGTGACATGTAGAGGTTATAAATTCTATAGTCTCAAGGATCAGAAGTGTTAGTTGTGTCTTGGGCAGGAGCCTGATCAAAACCAGCGTCACAGCCAGTGAGTGGTATATTGGTAGATGTTTAACAATCAGATGTCTGGGGGGCAAATGTACATAAGACATGCCTTTCAATCTAAGCTGTGTTACTACCATTTCTACATTTTTAAAGTCTAGACAGTGAGGCAACAAATCGAACTCTGATTTGCAGCATTCACCTATTTCGCAAGTGCAATTGCTCTTAAATGCTCACTCCGAAAATTTAACAACAGATTCTTGTAAGCTGATTCATACCGGCACCACCCTTCCTACAGCGAATCTCCTGATCATAGCTAAGTCCAAAGTGATCAGAAAGAAATGAGGCTCAAGGTTCAGTAATTTAAGAATCCAGTATTATGTGGTTATTTGAATGCTGAACTCACTGAATCTAGAGATTTTAAGGCTGTCCATGGCTGGCTTTGTTCCTTAGTTTCCCTTAGTGGAAAAAGTTCTTGCTGCTCTTGTTACCTCATTATTTTCCATGGCAAGTATGGACTCTGTTAAGTAAGATTTCTTGCTTTGATAATTTCTGTACATTACTGCTAAAATTATCTTTCTGATATGCTGCTTTGACTATTTCTATTTAGAATTCATTTAATAGTTCTTTGAATTACAGTTTTCACTTAGTAAAATCACACTACTCTTCAATTTTTACCTCTATACAAAATTTGTCTAAAATATATATATTTGGCTGGATATGGCGGCATACGCCTTTAGTCCCTGCTACTGAGTAGGGCTGAGGGTAGTAGATCTTATAGACTTGGGAGTTCTGAGCTGTAGAGAGCTGAGTTGAATGGGCATTCACAGTAAGTTCAACATTAATATGGTTGGCCCTTAGGTGCAGAAGAGATATGTTTAAGGAACCAGCCCAGGTTGGAAACAGAGAAAATTAATGTTCTTGTGCCAATAACAGTGGAATCAGACCTGTGAGTGACCCCTGCACTTCCAGCCTGGGAAAGATGGAGATAACCAATGAAAAAAAAATTGAGCAGTTGAAAAATTTATATCACCCAATGCACTGAAACAAATTGAGTTTATGTTTTATCTAAGTACCCTTTAACACCATGCCAGATTTAATCAAATAATTATTTGAAAAATATTGCAGAGCAAATGATAAACATAATAGGAAAGGCAATTTAGATGAACTGTAAGGTAGGGAAGGGAACAGATTGTAGAAGCTCCAATATGATAGAGAACCATCTTTTCCACTCACACTAAGGTTATGTATAACTGTTACATTTAAACATAAAGGACAAATGGAATTGAGCTCATAGTTGAGTTAGTTCTCAAAATTATAGATACAGGACAATATAAATTGAGGGAAAGAAGAATGGTGAGGAAGTTTGAAGACCCAGGTTCCTGAACATTTTGTCTACTGTGTGCATACTCCTAGGTTACCACCTAATCACTGACAGGTGATCAGGAGGATGTATAGTCTAAACATTTGTCCCCTGAAATGGTGGTGTTTAAGTTGCCCTGAGGTCCAGACATATGTCATATTCCTAAGGATTTAGTCCATAATGATTCCATATGTCAGGCTCAAAGTAAGCCAGGTACCTGAGCCCACTTCTAGGGCTTAGCAGTCTGTTAGTACACAAATTTGCATGCAATACTGATCAGCCTAATGGAAAAAAATCCTCCTAAGATCTCCCATTGCCCTCCAGAAAACATACAAATACTTGACCAAAGGCTTCAATAATAACCAAAAGTTATGTTTTACCAAGGACCCTTCTCTCAACAGCATTGTGGAAGAGGCAGTGCAAGGGTTATCATAACTGTTTTACAAAAGTGAGTGTTGAGCCTGAAAGAGGCCAAGTCAATGTTGCATCATTGAGGGAGAGGGATCTTTTAGGGGTCCCACCCTATTTAACTGATCTCCTTTATTCACCAGTTCTTTGAGAAAATTTATTCTGATGCTACTCACAGATCATCTCATGGAATCCAAACTTGTTAGTGGTATAATGCATAGGATGTACACACACATGTATATGTACATAAACATATGTAAATGCATGTGTGTATATATACATACACATATATTCATTCACATATAGCTTTATATCTCTCTACAGTTGGAAAAGCTCTATAGGATGTCCATCTAAACACATTTCTTCAACTATTTTTCTCCCCCATAGGTGGATGGACAAATCAAGGTCTTTTGAATAATTAGCATTCTCATCTGGAAGGCTCTGTAATATCCTGATCTTGATGAAATCAGGACAATTTTATTTGCAAAGAGGAACATTTGAAGGACTTCACTACCCATAGCAGAGGTGTCAAACTCATGGTCCACAATACTTCTGAGTGTTGTTGAACCAGATTAATATGTAATTGGGAAATGTTTAAGAAAATAATTAAACATGCAATACAACGTAGGTAATGTTAATATATGATTTTCTGAGTAAATGCCCAGTGGCAAGGATCCATTTCTATTTTAGTTTGACACCAATAATCCCTAGGGAATCCCTCACTAACCTGGCCTCTATATCAGATCTCCTTCATCACAGTGCTAAACATCTTTGTTGAATATGTTCCTTCCTGTTTTATGTTTTGCCTAATTTTTGTGATAGAAGGTTATTGAACTAGGTTATTTCTGTTGTTACATCTTCCAAAGAACCTTGAATTATTTTAACATATGGATAGAAACACCTTGCTTGGGACTAGATAGAAATGGAAATATTCATTTCAATAAAATCCTTGAAGCAAAACAACTGGACAAAGTAGACTTAAGATAACAGATTCATGAAATGTTGAAGCTGGGAGAGATTTTGGATAATCGCCAAATCTCAATGTTGGAGGGAATCACAGGGACCAGCTGGTCCAATCAACAAGTGGTCGTCCAACTATCACCTGAAGACTTCAAGTGAGAGGGATTCTATTACCTTCTGAAGCAGTTTATTCCAGATTAAGGTATCTCTCATTGTTGAGAAGTCTTTCCTGTCATTAGGCTTCAATCTTCCTCTCTAACGTCTACTCATTGTTTTATGCTCTGTGGCTAAGTAGAAAAAGTTGAATCCTTTCCATGTGACAACCCTTTGAATACTTTAAGAAGGCTATCATCTTCCCTCCCCCACAAGAATTCCTTCTCCAAGCCTTATATCCCTAGTTCTTTAAGCTAATTCTCATATGGCATGATATTGAAGCCTCTTACCAGCCTGGTTACTCTCTTCTAAATAATTCTTCCTTACATGTGGTGCCAGACCTGAACACAATATTCCAGATGTAATCTGACCATAGGATGAGGGGAAAGGGAAGGGAATAAGAATTTACATAGCACCTAATACGTGCCAGAACTGTGCTAAGTGCTTTTACAAATATTATCTCATTTGACCTTCACAACAACCCCAGATGGGTGCTATTATTACCTCCATTTTACAATTGAGGTAACTGAGGAAGAGATTAAGTGACTTGCCAGGGTTTTACAGCTAGTAAATATCTGATTTAAACTCTAGTCTTCCTGACTCTAGGCCCAGCTCTGTATTTACTGTTCTACTGGTTGCCTCTTGGATCTCTGATCAGGACAGAGGATATCGAGACTATCAGCTTCATCATTTAGAACACTATTCTTCTCCCATGCAGTCTAACATTTTAATTACTCAGATGAGGAAATGTAGGCCCAGAGAAATTAAATGAATTTCTGACAGTAACACAGGTAATAAGGAGCAGAGGCAAAATTTGAACCCAGGTCCTTTAATATCAGTTCCACTGTTCATAGTAAAGAAAGTCTCCTTCAAAATACATCATTAAAATATCAGATTGTCTTTAAGGTGTACACATACTGTAAAGCACAACAGAGGTTCAGTTATATCCTCATTCTTCTCCAGGTTGCACTCTGGACTCCCTCTAATACAGGGTGGGGAACCTCCAGTCTCAAGGCCACATGTGGCCCTTTAGGTCCTCAAGTGCCCTTTGAGTCCAAGCTTTACATAACAAATCCTTTTATTAAGGAGATTTGTTCTGTGAAGTTTGGATTCAATCAAAGGGCCACACCTGAGGACCTAGAGGACTGCATGGGGCCTTTTGTATGCTTTCTTCCCCCAATTAGAATATTCATTCTTTGAGCCCAGTGATTGTCTTTCTTTTTCCTTGGAATTTTATTCCCAGAATTTCCCCACAGTGCCTGGCACATAATAAGTGTTTAATAAATTCTTATT